CGATAAGGTTGCACATTGAGAAGTCAATTAAGGCTGAGATAAAATAGAACAAGGGTTTTAGATTTCTGAGAGAAACCTAAAGCTCTGATACCATGACATGAAAAATGAATTGAATAATGACATTTTCACTCTTTCCTTTGATTGTAGAAGGCCCTATATATAGGAAATTTACAAGAGATAAAGGAAAGCTAAATCAAGGAAATCAAGGAAAAGATATAGAAAAGATAATGATAAAGAAGGTAACAATATCCCATAATTATAGAAACTAAATTCCATGACATAGGGATTCATCCTGATCTATAATATGTACATTCCGACAAGTAACATATTGAAGAGCACCAAGGACCTGCCTGTATTTAACTCGGTCAGAAAAAGCACAACTGTCAGCTAAAGATAGCGAATAGGATGAGGTCATGGGGGAAGGCACGAGCTTAGAGTCTGAGAAGCCTGCTCATTGTAAGAGCTCCAATATGTACCTCTTTTGAGAAAGGATGATGTTTGGTCCTTGAGGGACGATCTCAATACCCAAGAAGTAGTTTTGAGGGCCTAGATCCTTTATCAAAAAAGCTGAGCTCAGTTGTTGAACGATGGCGTCGATAGCAACATTATTGTTTCCTGTGATGATGTCGCCCATATACACTAAGATGTATAAAAGAGTGCCATGATTGGAAATAAACAGTGAAGGATCAGTCTTGGAGCCTACAAAGCTAAGGGTATGAAGAGCCTTGGAAAGGCGGTGAAACAAGCCCGTGGGCCTGTTTGAGGCCGTAAATGGACTTGTGGAGTAACAAACATGATCTAATAGTCGTGGGAGAATAAAGACCGGAGGCTGCTTCATATAGACTGTTTCAGTAAGGTGGTCATGAAGAAAAGCATTTTGAACATCAGTTTGCATGAGCGACCAATTTTGAGAAACCGCAAGCGATAAAACAACCCTGATGGTAGTGGTCTTGACAACATGATTAAAGGTTTCTTGAAAATCAATGCCATGTTGCCGAAAACCATTTGCAACGCGTCTCGCTTTGTAACGAGTGATGGCACCTGTCTTGTCCCTTTTTATCCCGTAAACCCACTTACAATCAACAACATTAGTATCATGAGCACGAGGAACTGGAGACCACGTGCCGTTTTTAACTAGAGCGGAGTACTCCTCGGCCATTGCTCGATGCATTCAGGAGATTCGTTGGCAATGGTAAACGAGTTCAATAGGTGTAGTGGAGGTGGTGGTAAGATGAGCTGAGGGATGAAGGGAACCTGTTGTTTGAGGTTGAGCCGGAGGTTAGGAGGACGTTGTCTAGGAGGAGGAGGTGGAGGTGGTGGTGGTGATGGAGAGGAGGAAGTGGATGATAATGGAGATGAACCACTGGTATCTGGATCATGGTGTAAAGGGGAAGTGGGTTTAGGAGAACACTGAGAGATTGGCGAGAAAGTATGTGGTGAATTAGGCGGATCAGGTATTACAAGAGATGGAGCGACATGTGGAATGTTGTGGGTTACCACGTGAGGTGATATCGAGGAGGTCTAGGGACATGATGATGTAGGTGAGGAAGTGGGGACAATAGGAATGACAAAGGGGAAGTGGTCTTCATTGAAACGAACATGACGATCATTGTATAAACGCTCGGTCGATAGGTCTAGGCAATGATAGCCATGACAGAAAGGACTATAGCCAAGAAAGATGCAAGGGGTTGACCGAAAGTCAATTTTGTGATGGTTGTACGGTCGAAGGTGAGGAAAGCATTGACAACCGAAGACCCGAAGAAAGGAGTAACTGGGACATCGTTTGAATTTGTTGAGGTTTGCGAAGGCATGCGAATGTGGTATCGAAGACTTAATGCCAAAAACGGTGAGAAATGTTGAGGAACACTGGATTGAGCAAGCTGAGTGAGACCAGTTTCAATGACATGTTGATTGAGTCGTTTCACGAAGCCGTTTTGTTCACTGGTGTGAGGACATGAACGGCGATTATGAATGCAAGAGATGAGAAGAAGGGAGATAGATTTCGAAATTCACCACCCCAGTCAGTTTGAACGTTTTTGACTTGTAAATTGTCTTTCGACCATGGTAAGGAAACCTTTGAAGGTGTTGTAGACATCTGATTTTTGAGCCAATGGATAGATCCACATATAACGAGAATGATGATCAACACATATCATAAAGTAACGAAGACCTTCAAAAGATAGAATAGGTGCAGGACCCGACATCACAATAAACCAAATCTTAAATTTTATTACTTCGAAAGGAAGAAACAAGTAATGAATGTTTTGATGATTTGTCCATTTGACAGAATGTACAAAAAGGTAATGTCTTATTTGTAGCATGAACAGAAAATCTAGAAAGCATAACATGAAAGAGACGTTGATGTAGATGACCGAGCCGCCTATGCCAAAAGGTAGAGGATGCATGATCAGTACGCAAAAGCGATATTATTGATAGACCTGAGCTGAGGTTGACGAACAGAGTAAAGACCATTCTCACTGGGGCCCATAAGCAGGGTAGTGCGTGTAGACTTGTCCTTCATGACAAAAAAGTTGAGTGAAATTCAAAGAAAACATTGTTATCTAAACAAAAATTCTGGAGAGAAGATTTTTGGTGATTTCTGGAACGTGAAGAATATTAGATAGACAAAAGGGTTTGTGTGGTGAGTAAATGGTTGAGGAGCCAATATGAAGTATAGGGTCCCTTACCATTACCAACATGGAGAGCGTCACTACCATGATAAGCTTCAGAGTTATCCATGCTTGCTAAGTTAGGCGTAACATGACAGTTCGCTCTTGTGTCATGAAACCATGAAGTTGATTCAGGAGATGGGGAGGCACGGTTGTTGGCAAAGTTAGAAGTTTGCCTAGGACGAATGGTGGATGGATCACAATTAGGACACTGTGATGGGAGGTGCCCAATACCACAGCGGTTACAAGTTCCATATACTGTGTTTTGATTGGATGCCCAGCTAAATTGGTGACCATCGCCATGTCTATGGCTGCTGCCACGAGAAGTTCCAAGGCGAAGATTACCACGATTGTTGTTGTGGGGCTGACAAGAACCTTAGAAAGCTTGAGGGCCTGAAGTTGCAACAAGCATCAACTGATAACCAAGGGTAGATGCAATAGAACTGATTTGAGCAGCAAGTTGTTGATGATGATAGACAGAAGGCTGTGACATATTAGAAGGCTGTGACAAACCATAATTGTTGGTTGTAGTTGCAAAAACTTGAGAAACAGATGGAGTAGAGGTACGAGTTTTCCCAAGCATGTAATCATGGTCACTGAGAAGGGCTTGAAGTTCATCGAAGGCAGTCTGGAATTGACGTGCGGTGATGGTAGATTTAAGACCATTGTATTCTTCATGGAGAGTAGAAACTACAAGCATAACGAGATCTTTATCTTTGACAAGTTCGCCAATGGCAGCTAGAGCATCTGCATACTCGTGAAGTTTCATCACCTTTCATCTGAATCTTGAGAAGTTGAGTTTTTAGTGTATATTCTCCGGATGATGTGTGAGGGTCATAGGCTCGTTTTAGGGCAACCATAGATCACGGGAAGTTTCACCCTGGACATGTCGAAAAGAGGCTTCAGAGTTGGTGGAGATAATCAGCATGCGAACGTGAGCATTATTAGAAATCCAAATCGGGTAATTAGGGTTATCTTCTGGATTGGTGGTAGCCTTTGGATCGGAGGTGGTTGTGGTTGATGGTAGATGTTTGGATGGACACGGTATTGATCCATCTATATATCCGAACTGGTTATTTGTGACAAGAAAGGGTTGAGTCATTGTTTTCCAATAACCTTAGTTTCTAGGAGTAAGGGTAAAAGCAAACTTGTGTGAATTGTGAGATTGTTTCTCCGCTGTTGTGAAAGAGGCTATTAGAGCCATGATGTAGTAATGCACCGCAAAAGAATAGAAGACTGAAAATCATGGTTCCGGCGGCAGCAGACGGCAGATTAAAAAATTAGGGTTCCAGCGGCGGCAGCGGGCAGTGGACGATAAATTCAAAAATTAGGGTTCCAGCAGTGGCAGCGGAGGACTCCAGTGGCGACGGCGGCAGATTCCAGCGACGGCGGCAGCGGACGGTCAGATTAAAAGAGGCGGCGGCGGCAGCAGACGATCAGCCTTGTAGTGGTGTGACCAAGAGGGCAGGTAGGGTTTTGGTAACTTGGCTCTGATACCAAAATAAACCACAAGGGTTTTGTGTACTGATTTTGATATGTAACTTAATTACAATCGCTCTCTATATATAGAGATACTAATTACATAGGAGTGCTCTGTACATTATGCTAATTGCACTTACATTCAGGCTAATACATGGTCAAAATGCCATGCAACTTTCTAATATTAACATTTAGGTCACTATATTTTGAAGATTTTGATCATTGTAGTTTATTTATAGTTATTTTATAATTGTATTTACTTATCCTAACAATAATATGACTTCTTTAAACATACTTATTGTTAATGTCAACAATTATGTTTAAAGCATGACTAATATTTTCGGGAAACAAAATTTAACAAGTTTTGTGATGAGTGAATGATATGGTTCTTCGCGAACGTATTAGAGCAAGAATAGAAAGAAAGAAGTATAGATGAAAGAATATCCATTTGTGTTATTATAGGAATTGGTAACATCCTTGATATAGATGATAGCAGGCTTCCCTTATTTAGATGCATTATAATGTCATGTACATATGCACTTGAAATTTTGTCTTCATTGGTCATAAAAAGACTTTATTTTACTAATATTTAATTGTTCTTTTAAGGGATAATATATGTTATGCTATTCTTATTCGATATTTAAGTAATCAATACAACCTTTTATTCAATATTTGAGCATTCAATACAATATGTTACTCAATATTCCATTTGACATGAATTCATTAGCTGGGATACTCTGATCGTTTAAAGTTAACTAGTTAGATGCTCAATTGCTTGTTTCCTCAATCATTGTGGTTAATTTTTTATTCAAGGTTTATTGTTGCATTAACTTTCTATGCTCTGTTTAATAGTTCTTTATGCAAATTTATCAAGAATGCCGTCACTTCTTCCAAACAAAAGAAATGAAGAACAAACTCGACATGCATATAAGATGTTATCTGATTGCTTCAGGTTGACATATAATCACCTTTTTCAGTGTCTTCACTTTTGACATTCCTTAACATTGTACATTACAATACCATTTTTATGCTTTGCAGATACGCTATTCGTACTTCTAGATGTCGAGCCCAAATGCTAGTACAATATTTTGGGGAGGATTTTGGATACGACAGTTGTCATTCGTATGTCAAGTTCTTTCCTTCCAAGTTGTGCTAATCTTGTGTTGTAATATGCATATTTTTTTAATGATATTAATACAAATATGGTTATTGGGGTTTTGATTGCTTTTAATTTTAATCAATTCAAATGACTAGGCCTACCTCTTTTTCCCCCAATCTCTCACTTGCTCGTCCCTCTGTCATGAAAGATTGTCTCTCCTCTCCTGGTACTCGAATCCATTTACGATCACGACCTGGAACTGGAAGATCAATTCGAGATCTTCTAACATATTCGAGGGTTCCCCCTACCAGTACATGAATAGATTTGCATGAACTGAAATAGGGTATAGTCTCAATAGAATTAGTGAAATCAAGTGAATCCTATGTTGGTCCACCATGTCTAATAGAAGTAAAGCCACTTGAAAGAAATGAATTATTGAAGAGAAAACATCGAAACATATGCAGAGGGTGAATGTGCTGCTATCTAAATTAAGTTTTTACTCATCTACGCTTACATGTTTATGAATAATGTCTCAGTATGGTATATGATTCAAGCATAAGAGATGTAATACACAAACACACTACAAACCATATTTGGTGCGAACCTTTCTAGTGCCCTCACTAATATATATATTGGGAACTCAATATATCATATAATTGTGTCAAATGCGCCAAATATGGGGTACATTATTCATGATGTCAACTTTCTTGCATTTTTTTAAAGATGCTATTACCTCTTTAAACATGTGGAAAAGAGTGTGTTTTACTGCATCGAGCATAGGTATTAATTAAGTAAAAGATAAAGTAAGATTATTGTATATATATGGTGGGTCTTTTCCATGGTTAAATACAAGACAATATACATTCTCTCTCTCTCTCTCTCTCTCTCTCTCCCTCTCCCTCTCCCTCTTTCTTTTTTCCAATTCACGCCATGTTATCAAAAATCTAGACTCGTTTATATTTTGGCCTTAATTGCTTCATCTCTCTTCATCGTTGCGAGTCTTAATCATTATTGTCGCTGACAAGAACCCGGAAGATTTTCTTTGCTATCGTGATGGTATCTTCTTGGCTGGCTGCTACTGTTTTTTGTTTTGTCTACTTTGTCACCAACGGAAACTTCTGATTTGTGATGTGTGATCAGAGGGACAGAGAGAAGAAGTATTCTTATTTACTGAATGAATAATTACAAAGGAGAGGCGTGTATATATAGACACTAAAAAGAAACCCAAACCCAAATAAGCAAAGGCCTGTACGGCCCAATAGAAACCCTAAACAGACATAATATATTTACAATATATTCTAACACTCCCCCTCAAGCTGGAGCATAGATATTGATCATGCCCAGCTTGCTACAAATATAAGTGATTCGACTCCCGGGTAGTGCTTTTGTGAAGACATCGGCTAATTGATCCCTGGTTCGAATATGGGGAGTTGAGATAGAACCATCCTCTAGCTTTTCCCG